ACACAACGAATATGACTGCACATTTACGCCGACATCATCCTAGTGCAAAGACAAAAACAACAAGCTTGCTACTAACTTTAGCCGAGTCATTTAGACAGCTGTTAGCACATGATTCTCCTTATATGTTTAATATGCTGCTGAGAATATAGCCCAGAAGAAGCGGATAGTATAGCTTTTATTTTGGAAAGAGACATTTCTCTGTAATAAACTCTCTTTTCCAAAGATGAGTGATTCCTCAATCAGATACAGGGCTTGCAATATCGCTAGCCCGACGTCCCGGGGCTAGTGATTTTTTTCAGTCGGGCTACCAAAATCTATCTCTTCCCTGCCCGTCGGGCTATTGTAGGAAGGAAAAATATATGTCAATGCTTTTGCATTCTTTCAGAAGTGTAGCTGGGTAATTATGTCATTGGCATCGGTGAGCCACTGTCAATATGTGACATATTGAAATCGCGTTTGAATTTGCGCTTGTTTTTTTGCTTTCACTTTGCAATCGTATGAACTGTGTATAGAGAGCGACAGCACTGATCTGTGAGTGATGAAAATTTGTGCACCAATTCCTCTGACATCATCTTATTAATTGTTAGCTTACTATGCAAACATGACAAGTGAAATCTCCCGCAGCAAGCTTAAACATGTGAGAGGTTGATCGCGCAGAGAATCGCTGAGCATTATGTGAGTGCGTGTGTAAAAGCAGCACGATATATATTTCAGTTCTGCTGAGCCAAACAAGACAGGTCAGGGTGAAGAAGTGACAGCCAAAGAAAAGCTTACCACAAAACGGAGAAGTTATGACAAATAAGACTATAAGGCAAAAAGAAAGTGCAGCTTTATGGTTTCATGGACAAAGGAATTTCTGTGGCTGCAATATGACGAGCTAAATAACCAGGGCTGCACATAAGTGGTCCGCAGGTGCGCATTCGCTGTCAAAATAAAAAACACGCACAACGGTTAGGGTTAAATTTAAAAACTGTACTTTTGAGTTAAAATATATATTTATAATTTTAATAAATGACAAATTAAAAAGGCATGAACATTTTTTTGTATCGAAAAAATATCGAACCGTGACACCAAAGTATCGAACCGAACCGTGAATTTTGTGTATCGTTGCACCCCTAATATATATATATATATACAGTATATATACAGTATATATATATATATATATATATATATATATATATATATATATTTGTATTGTATTGTATTTGTATATATGGTGTTGGGGGCAAATTCAGCTGTCAGAGAAATACAGCAAAAAGTAGTAACAAAACCAGAGTATTACACTAAAACTAAAAAAAGCAAAGAGGAGTTTGGATATGGATACTGAGATAACACAAGGCATGGACTGAAGGAGAAAGGGTTGGAAAGCGAAAGGATTAATCATGCAGCAAACCTGAGAAGTTGAATAGGTAATGAAGGACAGAGGCTAGTAATGCATGAGAATAGGACAGAGGGGCTTAACAGGAGTCGTGCAGCGCATTGATTACCTCTGTCTGTCATTAGCTTTAGTCCCAATACCTAGAGACTTGGGTCAGTTTGAGACTAGAGAAAGGGAGAGGCCACAGAAGCAAGGAAGGCAGAATTAAAGTTTTTTTTTTTATTTATGCTCTTATGTGAGGATCACAAACTAGCTGGGAAGTAACAAAGTACAAATACATTCTCTTACTGTACTTAAGTAGATGTTTTACCTACCTGTACTTGGATATTTATTTTTCTGATTACTTTTTACTTTTACTCCCTACATTTTTAAACAAATATCTGTACTCCTTACATTTTCACAACATACTGGTTACATTTGGTTCAACTGCATTATTTATAGCGTTTATCCTTCGGGTTTTAAAGTGGCCAGAAGGAGTGCAGGAGTCCGTAAGTTGTGGTTGCGGTATTTGAGAATCTAGCTAGTGCTACAGAAGAGGAGGGCGCATGAAGGGAGTGAAGTTTTTTAAGTGGCCGGTAATTTCATATTCAACATTTCTGTCAGTTCAACAAACATCAGGAAACACACAAACTACTTGTTTGCAGTTTGTCGCACAGTGTGTTGCAAGCTAAAGGTCCAGCTAATATATTTCACAGGTAGAGAAAAGAATGTGAGCTATCTTCACTAAGAAATGGAGAAAGATCTGAAAAAGACAGGATAGAAGAGGAAGAAGAGAGGTTAGATTTAAAAGTAAGGAATCCTCAGTGACGCTTGATAAACTGCAGATTTAAAGCTTACATGCATGTCATAATTTTAATCACATATTTGATATTACTGCAAAACTAAGCTATACTAACTTTGGGTTATTCAAATGTTGCATGAAAATACTTGGTAGTTTGCATCGGATAAAGAGGTTAGCTTGTCATACTGTGGTGAATTTATTGTAAAGCACTGCACTGAACTGATACACTCCAGGTGCCCATGGCCAATTTTAGTTTACACCAACTGTAGCAGACTAATTTTCATTTAAGTAGATGACGGTTATATTAATTCACTGAATTCCACCTTTATTCAAACTGTATACTGTCTAGTGTAAAGACACTGTAAACATTATACTGTCACAGTGTAGAAAATGGAAATCAGCCAAGACAGCTTTGAAAGATCAGCTAACATCTTGTTGAATTCAGTTGTGTAAATCCACAAAGAGGAGAAGGTCAGCTGATCACAGCATGTACACTAAGAAAATCAACTGGAAATCACATTAGAAATTATTTTCACTTGTGATTCTTTTCCCCATGCTGAGACACTACACAGATCTTAGGGTTCCCCCACCTGCTGAATCCCACTTTTGGATTGTGTAATGCACTGTATGACCTTACTTTGTTAATGACAGTAGTGCTCATAGGAAAGCAGTAAAGCATAAACACAAACTGTAACACATCCCTAAATACATATTCCCAGTTCTCTGTAAATCATATCTTTTGCATAAGTGGAGTCCTTCATTGTTTTGTTCACCAGCTCTTCTATGGGAACAGCATTGGCCAAATTCCAATATTGCCTTACACATTCCCTACACACTTTCAGCCAGTTTTCAGGTTTATTAACCACCACACTGTGAGGTGTAGCACCTGCTTTGTGCCCAGTATATTGATACACTTACACTTACACACTTACAAAAATGGGTTCTTTGTAATGAAAAAAGTGTAAACTTCATCCTACTACTTTTTGAGCTTAAACATTGTGTAGACATAGAGATATTCATGACAGCTTGATGTTTTTCTTTTCTCTTGTTCTTTCAGTTATATTTACATGCTTGAAATAAAAATTACTCTATCTATCTATCTATCTATCTATGAACCCACTGAAGTCTTTTGTGGCAATGTTCTATATGTGTCTATATCATCAAAAGTGCTTCTTATTTTTAATTCATTCATTTTAGTTGCTTCATTTTAGTTTTTATAAATGCCAGCGTTAGAGAAGAAGGAGAAGGAGAAAGGATCCAAAAACAATTCAGATGTTAAAAAGCATGAATGAAATTCAAACACATTTTCTGCTGAGTGATAGACATGATTTTAATAGTCCATCTGATAGTAATATAAGTTGCCAAAGATGCTGATTACAAATTCCTGTTATCAACAGAGAAAGCCAAAGGCGTCCTTAAGCTTGCCACCCTACCCTTTTTTTAGGAGACACTTCAAAAGCTGCAAGTGTGACTCTGTATGGAGTTACACTCATCACAGAGTGGGAGGGTGTAGAGGCCAGTTTGGAATTGGGACTTACTCCCCTAGTATGCTTTAGTGCCCAGCGGGGGTCCTCTACTTTGCTGAAAGAGGTAGCAAGCAGGCTGCCTGTTGCTCAGCGACTTCAAAACTCCATGAAGTTTCAGACTATTTGTGCTTGTGTGCAAGTACACTGAAAAAAATGTTTTGTTCAATTCACTAAATTTTTTTATGACAAGTGGTTGCACAAAATAAATTTGTTTGAATCCAGAAATATTTTTTAAGTACACAGAATTTAAGCGAGTAAAGCCAACATATATTTTTAAGCTACTTTAACTTAACTGTTGTGGATACAACTTAGTCAAATAATATTAGTAATTCCAACTAAGGTTGTGTTAAGTGTACCAGAATAATTTGTTTCCTTTAAACTTATGTCCCAAAGTTATATTCAAATCAATAAAATTGTTAATTTCTCTCTATTTCAATTAAGTAAATTTTACTTAAAAAAAATATTGCTTACCCTGATTTGTAGTTCTTTTTAATAACGCCAATAATGAAAACTACAAAATTCTTTCACATCATTTATTAATGCAAAATTTGTTGCAAACAGAATAAGAATCCACATGTAAGGGAAATTGCTGTAATTTGTATAATACAAATTACAAAACTTTTGCCTATGAACTAATAGCTTTAAAAAGCTCTATTCAAATAAAACAGAAACAACAGACAAGAGAAATGTTAACCAATGTTTCTCTTCCTCTAACAAAGAATAAAACACTGCCAGCGGTATAAAGTATCACAATTACAAACTGATGCATCCACAAACTAACCAAAGTTTCAGACTTGCTGTTCTGCGATCCATATTTAGAAATTGCATTTTAATAAGGTAATTAGACTTAAAACTAAACTTGTGTTTTCCTTACTGCTTTCCATTCTAGTCCTTCCTTGAGGATTCTGAATGTTTTACATGTTTTCTGACCTAACATACTTGCTTCAAAACAATAGTCCTAAAGTGTTACCAGTGTGCTGCAGTGTGGTAATCATGCAATTATTATTTATTTATTTATTTTTTTTTAAATCAGGTGAGTTAACACTGATTATAGGGCAGCAGCTATCAAGGACCGGAATAAAGAAAAATTGCTTCGGTAAACTGAATAATTACAAAGTTGCTCTTCAAGCTACTCAAATGTACCAAACGTGAAACATTCATTATTGAAAGTGAAAATGTTCAATCAAAACATAACACAGAACGTGAGAACGAATGATGGTTATACAAATATTTCACTCCTATTCACAAGAGCACCAGTCATTGGTAATTTACATAACAAAATGTAAATGGATGTGTGGTTTTAGAAATCTTCCTATCCAGTAGCAATTTTGTTCTTCAGCCCAAGGACTTTGGGGGAGAGCTTTTCCCCATCCAATCCCATCAACACTTTCTGAATGAATTCATAATAGTGCCTCAATTCCTTGGGGTAGGCTAGGTTTAGTGCATAGATTACTCCAAGCATCAATGCACAAGCTTGGGCCGGAGATCCAATGTTGTCCATGACTATCTCCCCTTCAACAAATATTCCAATGTCATCATAATGTCCATTTTGTCCATCCTCCTTGTTGATGACATAAATGCCCATGGTGTGCTTCTTTAGGCCTCTCTGGATGTCATCTCCTTCAATGTCCTAAACATTTAATAAAAAGGTAAAAGAAAAACAATTAACTCTACAATTAAATTCCAATCTAGTCGTTTGTGTGTGTGTGTAAATATCTATCTAAGAAGTGTGTGTATAGATGACTTGCTAACAATGACTTACCAAGTACTCCCGAATAAGGCTTCCGTCCTCTTCACCAAGGTAGAGGCAAAGTGCCCTGAGAACTGCTTCCCTTTTCACTTTAACATCACTTTCAGCCTGTTTAAAGAGAGTTGCTGATTAAACCAATTTGGAAAAAAGAACAATGTCTGACATTCGCAATAAGTAAATTTTATCATAAGTCAGTTCAAACATAGTAAATAAAATTTATATATGAAAATTTCAAAATTTAGATTGCTTGGCCGGTCACCTAAAATGGCTTATTTGACTCACCAGTGACTTGCCACTTAAGACAAATTAAATCCAAATAGAATTTGCAATATTCAGATTTACCTCTTGCATGATCTGCAAGTGGTGGGCAAGTTTCTGCCCAGAAACACCGCCCTTCTTCTGGAAAACTGTCATCAGCTGAGGTGTAATTCTGTCTAACTGTGCCGCGAAGGTCGTCTCCAGTTGAAGTGTTGTAATACGCTGGAATTCAGCATTTACCTGTATCACACACACAGAAAAAAGAAAAAAAAAGCAGACTGGTGCTTAATCATTGGTATGATTATTTTGTTATTTCTTCATTAAATGCTACAATGTAATTGCCATCACTTCATAAAGCATGATTAGCATATGGGTTAGTATACAGTGCATGAAGGATGTTACTACTGTTAATCAAAGACGAAATGAATGGCATCAGTCCATTTAGCGGGTTTAAAGGGTTTTAAAAAGCAGATATTTGTCTGTTTCAGGTGGTTGGCAACACATTTTCCTGTGCTCTTTGTCCGCTGGTGGGAGTGTCTCACCTGTGAGGTCAGCACCTCTTGGTGGTGAGAGGTCTTAGGGGTTTTAACTTGACCCATTTATTTTTTTATCTTATGAGCAACAAAGTTTGTTCATCACATTTTTAATTTACATTTGTTTAGCACATGCTTTTAACAATCTGAGGCTAACTAAAAACGAATAGCTAAATGAAAGGTTTTAGGTTAATTCACAATTGATAATCTGATTTCACTCTATTAATTATTGAGATGATTAATCAATCATTTCAATAATCAAACTCACTATAAAATAGTTTGGGCCCTATATGTAGTGCAAACTTACTTAAACAATCAAATATTTTTTATTTATAAGAAAAATCAAAAATTTATTTTATTCATGTTTCTACACTTTAAGTCACTTATGTTTTTCATACACAACTTGTATTTTAAGTGCTGCTCAAATAAATACTCTGTACGGTACACAGGTCAATCACTATAAATGCCAGCCTCTTTATACCTATATTAGGGATCGTCTTAATCCAAGTGGCCCAGATTAATTAATGTATAACATAAGGAATTACTGAAAAGAACACTCAGCAAAAAAAAGCATGCCTTTACCTCATTAATCTGGAAAAGTGCAGGCCACCTAGCTTTAAACTCCCCAGCAGTTGGACTTCCCTGCACCACCTCTTGTCTACGGTAGGAAAATGTTCTTGACATCTTCTGTCTTACATCTGAGGCACCGTTTCTTCGTCTGATGTCGGTCAAAAGCTCAACCCTGATGTTTTCTAGACTGTCATCCGTTTCGCCAGCTGGGTGTAATGGACAAAAATTGACCTCAGCCTTTTTAGGTTTCTTAACATTTTTGGCTGGGAGGCAATCATCACTGGATTTGTTTTTCAAAGCATTTATAGTCACTTCAGGACAGCCAATGTTGCGCATCTTTGTCCTGTAATTAGCCATCTTATATTTCAGGCTAATCATCCAGCCATAGTAACCTGTGGCAGATGGCTCTCGCAGACAAGGGGATTTTTTGATCAGTGCCCCTGCAACTTCATCTATTTGGTAATTTTGAGGATAAGCAGTAAACTGAAAAATCGCCTCAGCTAGCATCTCTAAGATGTCAGATTTAACACCTGGAGTAATCTTGAGCCGAGTTCCAGTTTCTCTGAAGGTCTCATTTCCACGCTGAAGTTGCACCTCTACATTGAATGAAAATCGAGGAATAGTAAACTCGCGAGGCCATGCACATGATCTCAGCTCACTGTCTGACTGTGGTAGAATTATGGTGCTGTCTGAGTTGGATGAAGACGATGAGAGACTGGAGTTTCTTTGAATACTTTCTGGACTTGCAGAGGAGTCAAGACTGCATGTGGGATACTGCTTTAACAAAGATGCACTTGTATCCAGATTTGCCATGTACACAAGTTTGATTGTACTTCGGTCTTGAATGTCTTGCATTGATGTTATGTTCATAAACTCATTATTGAAGTCAGGATCCATGAATTGAATACGAAAGTCTCTTTCAATTCCAAATGCTTGGCAAATTGTGCTCTGAAGATCAGTCAAAGTTCTTGGCATCCCAGATGGAACGTCAAGTCTCCTAAAATCATCATCTGCCACGATGACTCTCAGCTTCAGCTGCTCTGCCATTCTTCAATCTGATTTTTAAAGACATTAGGAGAAAAAAAAAAAGTTAAAATACTTTGCATTGAATAATTTTATTAGGGAGCACAAGAGTGCAGAACTGCAACACAGGTTTTACGGGTAAAAAGCAGTTTATTTAATTTTATTCTATAGCTTCATACTGGGTTTTTTTGCATACGTCAGCCAGAATCCTCAAAAAGTGTCACTTTGCTTTTAGTGGTATGTGTTGCAATTCATCCTTTATCAAAATGTTTTGAGCATCATCAATGATGTTTTTTTAAGACACATGACAACATGAGGCATGTTTGGCCAAAAGAACTGAAATGTAATGGAAAAAAAAAATATTACCCTTGTGGGAAGTATCCAATCTTTATTAAAAATAAGCTAAACATTTGTGGTACCCCTCCTGTTGCCATGAAGATAACTGCAACTGAACACATGCAACTGAACACATGCAATTGAAGACAACATTTACTACCTTCTATATGAATGAATCTTTTAAGTATGACCATTCGCCTGCCTCCAATCCTGTAATCTGCCAAGGGGTACTGGTCTACCAAGGGAGATGTGTGATGTGGGAAAAAGTTCAAAACCTCTAAAATGCTCCCTATACCAGGCACCCATCTCTTTGACAGTGAAGCTCAAGTTTTCCTCCACAACAACCATTTGGACAACTTCTGCAAATTCAGGCAATCCAGCAGAGGAGCCATAAACTACAATCATGCCAGGCCTGTAGTTTGTTCCATTCACAGAAGCATTCTTTGTGAGCTGAATATGGGTAATATCAGGGAATTTAATCTTCAAGTCTCGCTGTACATCATGATGCAGAATGTCAACAGAGACAGTAGAAACAGCTGAGACAGTTAGGCTCGGCCTTACAGTTGTGACAGACTCCAAGTGGTATGCCATCATGAACTGATGTTTCACTGCCAGTGACAGTAGCACATTTTTAAAGCACCGTGTGTGACGAACAACCTGTTTGAAAAAACTGTGCTTTGCCTCGAACCTCATGGTCCACATGCCAACAAGTGGCCCAAAGAATTTAATCATCTGTGGATAATGCTCCACAAAATGATGTTTTGGTAACAGCTTCAGTCCTGGAAACAGCTCTTTCAACCTACATCTGTGGTCAGAGACTCTAGACTCAAGGAAAGCAATTGATTGTTCTGTGTGTACTGGTGCAACAACTAGTTCAACAATGTCCTTTAGGTCCAAAATTACCTGCCAAGCTGTTTCATCTGGAGGTACCAAGTGTCCTACCAACAATGGAAGGAATCGTAAGAGACTCCAATTTTCATGAGCATTTCCTCCAATGCTTTTGTTCTGCATGAAAGTCCTGGGAATAGCATGAGGGCGATTACTCTTGTCTGCCCATTTGTAGGGAAATGTCAGAATGGACTCATTGAGGCTGTCAAGTGTAAAATATTTTTTCAAAATTAAGATATTCAGGCAGTATGCCAACTCAACTGGTAATATGCCCTCAAATATGTCATGTGCAATATCTGGAGGATATCCACTGCAAACACTGAAATGGGAGAGATGTGCAGAGAAAACACACCGTCTTTTAACACCGTGACATGGTTTTGCATTACTCTGTGCAGAACTTACATGCATTTCATGTGTCTCTTTGCTTCTCAGAGTAAACACACCTGAACTAACCTCTGTTTCTTGAATATCAGATCTTTTGGCCTCACAAAATCTGCAAAAGTATTCACCTGAAAAACTCTCAATAAATCCAGAAATACTGTGTGCTCCTAAATTATCTGCTATGACACACTGTATTGTGCCCCTGACAAATTCTCCAAGATGTGCAATAAAAATCCCTTGACTTTCCAAAGTAACAAGATCACTCAACAAGGGCTCTAGAATCTTTTCATATCCATATGTCTTTACATCTTCAGACTTGCAGAGTAAAGCCAGATAAATGGAAGTCAGTGATGAATGGCAAGCAGGTGGTAAATTGCTAAGAGTCCAATATATGGCACAGATTTTGTGCTTTTTACGGGAAGTGCCAAGTGGATTGCAAATCTCAAAATCGTCAATATACAAATTCAGTAAAACTCGCAATTCACCTGCTGATAAAAAACTGTTTTCTTTGAAAAACAACCCCTCCCTAAAAGACCTGTAAATCACTTCTTCCCCACTTTGTTCTGTTATGCAACTACCATCCAAAACCTTAGCAAGAAGGTGGCAATCACTGAAAAGCTGCTGTAAAACCTTTAAAACTGGAACATACTGAAATGTTCTTTTATTTTTTTCATCCAACACATACTCTACAGGCTCTACAACTTTAAAATTTTCCTTGTAGAAATTTTTGCGCTTAAAGGATGTTGCTAGGGGACAACCTTTACCTACCGATTTATACACAGGATTAGATGTACACAGTGCAGATGCAAGTTCTTCAATGACTGACTGGTCTATTTGCAAGCTGTCACAGTTCAATGTGTCTTGGATAACTTTTGCTGTCGTACACAAAGATGCTGTGCCCAACAAATACTGAAGTTCCTCCAAAAGTTCATCAACTGCAGCACTTGGAACGTGAAAAATATTTTCTAGTTTTAATAACACTGCCGCAAGCTTTAGCTGAACTACGTCTTCATGATCATTTGATGTCTCTAAATCAACAGGCTGTTCGTCACCCCACAATTCCTCAGCATTTGAAGCATCATGCTCTGCAGTTTCAGTTGCAAAAGATCCTCTGACAATATCCTCTTTGAAGTCTACCAGCGAGTGTAAACTGTGCTTGCGACTTTTGTGTGACTTAAAGGTACTGTAAATATTTGATTTGTAGTCACAACCTTTAAACATACATGTTACTGTCTCATTGTTTTTTAAATGACGGCTAATGTGCACAAAATATTCACGCTCTGTTCCTAATTCACTACAACAACATAACTGACAGGAAAAAGTTGTAAATTTGTCAGAGTGCTCTGGGGTATTGCTATGATTCCTTGACAAGTGTGTCAGAAGTGAATTCCAAGTCTTTAAAAGACATGGACACTCAGGATATAGGCACTTAATGTGATGGCCACGCCCAAAATGACTATGTTTCAGTCTATAGTGCTTAAGAAGTTCTGATCGTCTAGAAACTTCTGCACTGCAGTCTTTACACTTCCACATAAACTGGACATACAACAAAGAGAGAAAATTTGAAACAAAAACAAAAAACACACTTAGTACTTTACACAAAGAAAACTTTAGCCGTGGTTAACCTACAAGAATGGATGCATCTTAGAAGTATGCTTGTAGGCTGCATTATCTAGAGCATTCTTTTCCCAACTCTGTTCCTTGAGGATGCCCATCCTGCATATTTTTGATGATTCTCTGCTTCAGTGCACCCTGACATATTAACTGTGTCAGTGACAGACTTGTGCACAACTTGAAGAAATTAGGCTAAACATTAGTTCAAATCAGTGTGGCGATGCAAGGAGGCATCTAAAAAAATGCAGAACAGA